TAAGTCAGCTCTGTACCCACAGACCTCACTGCCGCTTCCCACTGATTCTTACTTGGAGGGAGGATTACTGGAAAATTGTCCCCTGTTGCTCTCTCAGTCTTTTGCTGGAGGTTATCAGGACAACAGAATGAGTCACAGGGTCCCCTCCCAACATTCTGGTTTATTTGCACCATGAACACGTTACACAGCAGCCTATGGCTGGGACAGGTGAGGTGAACACACGCTCCCTTCTGCCGGTGCCACGCCGTCCTTGGGAATCCTAAGTAGTAAATGAAGAGGTTAAAGCCAGGAATGTCTCTGTGTATGCAGCAGCTGGGTGAAATTAATCACCTGGACAAGAAATCAAGAGTCTGCCAGTGCCCTTTGTGAAATTAAGAGTAAGAAACTGTACACAAAGCAACTCAGCCCAGCAGCAGCAAGGTTTAAGGCAGCCTGGATGTTATTTTACCAAAAGAGCAATCTGCATAGCAAAGATTACTGAGAATTTGTCCTGTTTTCTAAGTGCATTTGGTGTTTGTACAAAATGTTCCATTTCCACTGGGAATGCCTACTAGGTACCTGCAGAACTTGAAAGTTTTGTGATCCCTAGGACAGCCAGCTGCGGGAAATGATTTACTGTGAACACACCACTCACAAGAGGAAGTTATGCCAAGGATTTACTGTAATTTCATATAAGCAAAAGAAAACACTGCCTTTTGAAGGGCATCACAGAAAACTATCTTTTCAACTGCTGAAATGAAAATAAATGCCTTTTTTCACATCAGCTCACAGTAACAATCTCTCAAGCATTTCCACATAAAAGTTTCTTAAGCTTTGAAATGGCACATTTAAGCTAATTGTTCTATGCTAAAAGAAACAGAAAAGGCAGTAAAAAATGTGTTCCTTCTCTTTACTTTTTCTCCATTATAACACTTGATGTCTTTTCTTACATAATTACCAAAACTGTGTTCATCTACTTTAAAAATATAAGAACTGAAATATGCATTTACCTTTTACTGTTCCTTTTCTACCCCCCTCCTTTTAAGCTGTAAAATCATGTTCTGAAGCCACTAAAAGTAGCGTGACATCTGTGAAATGATGCATTTTGTTTCTAATACATGCACTCAGCTGCAGATTTGACTTTGAAGTACTTAAATCTGAAATATCTAAAATAATCCCATGTCCCAGGGAAATGGCACTAAGACATTCAGAAACCTGTCTTTTTTACAAAAGGGTCATGGTGAGAAAAGGACCAGACACACCCCATCCTTTTCAGCTCTGCTTTGTTACCAGCTTTCCTGTCCCCCAGAAACCACACAGCCCCAAAGCTCCCATGTCCCCAGAAAGGAATTCAAAAGCCAGGATAAGAAAAGTTTTAGGATGAACTATCTCGGACAGGAGATAAGGTAATGGGATCAGAGTGGAAAGGCCAGACACAGAGCTGTAACCTAAAACGAATATGTCTGGGAAGAAGAAATCTGTTTTGTGTTTATATTTCAATTTCCATTGCCTCATTTTTTGTCCTCCTCATTCTGTTCCTGTTAACTTCTGGGCAAGCCACACAATCCCCTTCAGAGCCCAGAGTCTGAGCAGAAGATTGCTCCAGCATCCACATGGAACAATGTGACATGGAGAAGCTGGGGAGAGGCTGCAGCTTTGATTTAACCCACTTCTTGGAGCTAGAGGTGAGGAGGGACAAGGATTAAAGTCCCAAACATTCACACCCATAACAAAACCATAAGGTGTTTCTCAGGCAGCCATGCTACGACTTTCTCTGAACCATGGCATTGATTCCAACACTTACCCAAAACAAGAATTGCAAGATATGGGTTTTTTTTTCTTGCAATAGTCCTTTTCTTCTTGAGGACTGCAAATACCCACTGCCAACTACCATCTTCTTGCTTTGCCTGTTTGCACCTATATGATCCTAGCAGCTAATGGCAGAGACAGAGATGTGGCATCTCCTCACCCAGAGCAGACATAAGCATTCACATGATAAACTCACTTGCCTCACATGCCTTTAACTATTGGTGATTTACTTAATCAGGTCTCACAAAGAAGAGAATTAAACCCATGGCTATTAGAAACAATGACTGCTTTTTAATAGAGACAATAATTTTGCCCAGGCTGCCTGAATTCATTCACGGTCTCTGTGATTTCCCTCTGGCTGTATATTGCAGTCACACCCTCACACGCTCACTTTGCTTCTGTAAGGTCTTTTTATCAAATTAACACCACTGCAAACTCACTCCTTGACTCTGCCAAGCAAACAGCATGACCCTATTCATTAGAGTTTGGGAGCCATTCATACACAAAGTAGCAAATTTATACACAGAGTACCAAATTCACCATCTATAAAAAAATAAGGTATCCCAAAACTGGGGGAGTTACTCAAAGTTATACTTTGCTGGCAGCAGAAATATATTATGAAGTGAAAACTATCATTTAAATAAGGAAGACAGGCAGCCAGCTAGGCAGAGACATTAAAGGGAGACAAATTCTGAAGCCCTTGTCAAACCCACCAAAGCAGCAGCAGTACTGGAGCAGCCAGGGCCAGGCTATGGTATCACACTTCCATGGACTGAAGACAGCAAGTCCACATTAGGACAGACAATATTCAGCTCAAAAAGCAGGACACACTTTGGCATCAGGGCTTTCCCCATGAACAACGCTCATTTAAATGAGACAAATCTTTCAATCTGTGTCACGGGTATATTTTAAATGGTAAATCACAGACACATTTTCTGGCCAGAGTACCATAAAATTCCTATTAACTACCATTTGCTTCAGCTGTGATCTCAGTACTAACTTAATAATCTCAGAATATCATATACACATTTTTCCTCTTGAATGTTGAGATATCATGACTGTCAGTAACCAAACCCAGGATCATGGGATATTTTCTTCTAACAAGAATACATTTTGCTGTGGCTATAGCTCAGTTCTGAAGTCTGGTAGCTCTGGGATGAGTTAGTAAGAATGAGGAAGCTAAAACAAGTATTTCCCTAGGTTCCCATGTAAACACAACACCTCCAAATCTGGACAGTTTCAAGATACTGGGTTAAACACTTATCAAAACATAACTAAAAAGGCTATTCCTGAACTTTTCAGTGGCTTCCCAGTTACTATTCACTGGAACTACAGGCTCAGGGCACAGAGAACCATTAAAGCATGGGGAAACTTGGGATAAAGCATACAAGTGAGGCCCAGGACACAGGGAAAACACTGGGAAGAAGCCTGAGGAGTTGGAATGTTTGAACAGATAGCTCAAGTGTTTAGGAATGCAATGGGAGTGACACTCATCAGTGCTTATTGCATAATGTGTTCATGGCCTTACTGCACTCTTCACACTGTTTTCCAACATTTCCTGCTGCCTGCCATGGATTTGTCCAGCCACTCACAACTCCAGCCAACCACACCTGCTAAGGGAAATACCTTCTGTAGTTCAATAGCAGTTATATGGAGAGCAGTTTGCCATTAATTTGTGTTAAAGAAATTCTGCCTTGATTTCTGATGCACTGGAGAAGAGGAAAGGATTCCAGGAAAAAAGGCAAAAGGTGGTGCATTGGTGGACTTGGCACTGCTGGGGAAACGGTCAGGCGTGATGGTCTTAAAGGTCTCTTCCAAGCTGAATGATTCTGTGCACATTCCTGAACATGAACAACTGCATTCCATCTCTCCCTATGCTTTCCATATGCATCAGGACCTGCAGCCCAAACCAGAACTTGTTGATGTCCACAAGATGCTTTTTTAAATTACCATTTCATTCCTCTCCACTGACTAGACTATGGAGCAGATCCTGTCTTCTCAGGATCACAGATCTGTTAGCAATAATTACAACAGACCAGTCACAAGCTAACCAAAAAGCCGATGGAAATAGAATTCTTTTGAAACTAAAAATATCAGGGGCTCTTAAATGGAATAGCAAGAAAGGCTTGGTGAGCATTAAACAAACAGATGAGATTAAGAATGTGTTAGACACTTACAACACTGTATCCAAATGTACCCTATTAGTAGAGAGATTTCTCAATTGCACTGATTTTTAAAGAAACAAATCCCTGAAGATAAAATAAGCAGACTAATAGAATTATATCTACTGTGCTATTTTTCAAAAATCAGGAAGACAAATGAGAACTTAATCTAGAAAACCACTGGGATAACAAACTAGGAAAATACAGATTCGGACAGTAAGAGAAGCCGTGTTTCAATTCAAGTCTTTGATTTTTCAAGATAAGTACACTGGAAAATGAAATTTTCTGCTTTTTTTTTGATTTCTTTAGGAAATAATCTCTTTCTTCTCTGTTTCTACCCAAAGTACCAGAAAACACACGCCAAAAACACCTCACTGGACACAAGCTTTTCTCCCATCCCTGCAATAGAATTACCTGTATCCACTACTTCATCCATACTGTACTTTAAATACGCTGCTGCTATAGTGCTCTAACATTTCAGTTTACTTGTGCTATTTTCAACATTTCCTTTAAGTTCTTTACAAGAATATACAAAGGAAGAAAAGTGTTTACTGAATAAAACAAAGTCTATCCTCCTTCTAAACAAAACCTTCATTAATGTGGCATACACTTCAGTTTCTTATTGTATAGAAAACAAAAATAAATCCTATAGATGTCTGGAAGAGTATCCTGCAATGAGGAACTTAATGATATTTATTTAATTTCTTAGACTGAAAACAACTTTGGAACCAACACTTAATGTACCACCTTTTTGTAAGATGCAGGCACAACCAACCATCTTCAGAGATTGTTTATACTTAAAATTATTCCCTAGACTTAAAATATTAGCATCTTCATATACTGCATCTAGGAACATTTGACTGAAGAACAATCTGCACAGCAAAAACTATGGTAAATGGATATATCCTGAAACGAATTTCAAGAAAGCAAATTGCCACACCACATTCTTGAGTACTTTAAGCTATGAGAGACTTGTCACCATGGTATTTCAGGATTTGATTACCAGCTGCAAAGAAAAAGAAATATGTTTTGGAACACATTTATCAGACATTATTTTATATAATTTTTTATTGATGAATTTTCAACAGCAGTCATCTTGCACCCTGAAAGTTCTTTAAAAGTCTATAAAAATTTGGCATCAGTTACAGCGTGCAAGAAGGAAAAGAAACAATCAAGAAACACTTAGCACTGAATATTTTCAGTGCACATTCTAACCCCAGGAAACAAAAGAACCATTTCTCTTGCGTTGCAGTTTGTCACTTTCCCAGCAGAGACTTGTAGATTTACACAGGAGGCGAGACAATCCCAATCCAATCTTAAAACATCTCAATCATCCAGTCTTTTTCCTTGATCCAACTTATCACTTATCCTCACAGATCACAGCAGTTTCACCTGGATGCTCTGTCTTCAATTTTTTCCGAGCTGGCTCTCCCAGGAGCAGGGCTGTGCAGTGCTCCAAGGACTGAGCAATTTCATCAATTGTCCACTTGTCTTCGTGCAGGGCGTGTTCCTCCAGCGTGAACGGCCCCTGCTTGGTGCGCGTCAGCTCCTGCACCGAGGCACAGGTGGAGAGCTCTGCAGCAAAGGAGGAAAGAGGCATTGGAAAAAGTACATGGATAAACTTTCAACATGTAACTACTTCCAGCTCGCTTAAAATATATTTTTGTATGTAGCCTTTTACATTATTCTGCTTTGTTTGACAAGGAAGGTCATGAAGATTTATCACTCGTTTGTATCTTCTTAAATCTGACCCCAGGATGTCCTTTGATTTCAATAACTGTCCAGGGTAGTAAAGAGTTCAGAACCTGACAGAAAGCTGTCAAGAATTTTCCCAGATTTAGATCAGAATGGAAAGAGAGGAAAAAATGTCATAAGATGTAAGCAGAACATTCTGCATTCTCAAGTGACCATGAACTATTTTTCTACACATTCTGATGCCTTAGCACTTCTTGCCTTCAAGAGGTATTTTTATTATTATCCTGTGCTGCCTATCAGGATAACAGAAACTAAGATAAGGAAAAATAAAAAAATATGTACAAATGCTCTCCTATGTTAAATAAATACCAGCAGGACATAATTACATATTAAGAAACTACAAAGCATAACAGCAAGAAGCACTGGCTTATAAACACACAGGTACACTAAAATATTCTTTCCCATCCTTTCTGATGCAGGAAGATTTTTATTTCATTTTCAATTTTTGAAAAGAAGCCAGACATGGACAGACTTTATCTTCGTTTTCATTAAAGGGCTAAACATAACCCAGTATGCTCAAGGCAGTAACAGAAACTGGGACTTGCCTAAGCACAAATAATAACATTGAAATTCATAGGGTTATCCCACATCACTTACCTTCCTACAAATGTATCATTTAAAAAAAAAGAAAAGTTAGAAATGGATTATCTATTCTCCATCATGCAGTTTGATAGATACAGAGCACAAGACAAATAACCCTGTGGGAAAGCAAAACTATTCACTGTTCAGGCAGAGGAGAAAGAAAACACTCGAAAAATCATCACCAGTGTGGAAGTCTTTCCAGCAGATAGGGTTTATTATGTGCATGGTAATATTGTGTGCAATCTGTTTTCAAAATGTGATAAATAATGTTTAAAAAGACAGTATCTTTCTTCTTCTCATCCTTAATCTGAGTTAGCTTTAACACATGAAAGAGAGGGGAAAAAAACTCCCCCCCTTGCCTTGCATTATCTTGCTCAGTGCTATTGCTTGCTCCATTTTTATCAGCTGGCCCCCAAGGTCCCTGGCAATTATTTAGCCATCATTCCCCTATGCCCCTAAGGAAATTACCTGAGTATATAAAAACAAGTGATAGCACTACAGATCTGCAAAATAACACACAGGTCTAGTTACTCGAGATATACAGAATGACAAATTTTTTCCATAAACACACACTTGTTCCTTACATTTTCATGTGTTTTTTTTTCCATGCCTACCTTTGCCAATGTCATTGACCAGGCTCCTGACATAAAAGCCACCACCACATTCAACATCTGGAATGTTAAAAGTGACATGGTAAATTGCCAGTGCCACGTGAAATCTACTTTACATAGAAGCCATGCCCCCACATAAATGTAAAAATGCGCTAAGCAAACAACCCAGTGATAAAATATTTATAGGATGCAACATCAATTATTCATCCTGGAACATATGTGAGGGTGAAATTGCTAAGCTAGACAGGAGGGAAAGCAAATAAAATGGCAACTGTACTAACTCACCAGAATTTAAGTACCTGCTATAGTATGTTAAGAAATGTTTCAGCCCTATTCATTTTAAGCATTTCAGGTTGATTCCGTATTTCTAATGATGAAAGCAAGTTATTTCAAGTATAGCCTAAACTGTCAGTGCTTTTCAGATGCTGCAGACAGGCAGCTCCAGTTAAAATTCACCTTTAACTTCCCCTGTTCTCTCAGCCCTTCCCTCCCCTCCCCGCCAGTGATCAGCTGCTTGTCACCCAACCATAAAGTAAGGGCTGAAGTCACACAGCACTGAGTTCTGTCACTCATACCTACTCCTCATAAAACATCTGGTCTATCAGAGGACCGGGGATCAACTGGGCAGACAGATCAATGAAAGGCATCATCTTGACCTTACAGTAGCATTAAACATTTACAAGTCTTTTCTCGTTTATTTATTAATACGTTTCTTAATGTACTACCCAAGTTTCTTGATGAATGACAGAAGGAAGGATAAGATCCTGCCTCCTCAACAAGAAAGGGGTCTGACAATAACTGAAACTGATCCTGGAAGAGATACCAGCAGGTCTGGGAATCTGTGTGAAAGAATGGCAAAGTGAAGTATGCAGACCTGAGAGAGGAATGAGCTGGAGGTTGCAAAACCATGGACAGATGCAAATAATCCCCTGACCAGTCTCTCAGAATTTTGCCTCACTGAGAGATTAGATATAATCAGCTTAACTTAAAACCAAAATACTGTGCTTTTAATACAAAGAGAATGTCTCTGCACATGGGCTCACACCAAAATAAGTAGCTGAGTGAAATGAAACCCATTTCACTCTCTTAGTCCCATTCTGTGTAAATAAACATTAACAAGCTGGAAGCATTGCTCTATGTAATAATCTTTGACCTTTACCCAGCGTGAACAGTGGTGGCTGGAACTGCTGGAGAGACAGGCTGTACACTCTCACCGGCCGAGCAGGCTTTGCTTCTACTGCTTCCCCTCTCTTCATCAGAGTTGAAAGCCTTTCTCCATCCTTCTTCAAAGCAGAATAGCTGATCAGACAGAGCATGAAAACATGTGTCATATGGTTGTAATAGAACAGGCTTCCCATTCTCCAGATCCTGGTAATATTGTACTAGGGTAGCACACATTTTACAACTCTCCAAGTACTCACAAAAACCCACAAAAAAACCAGCAAGTGCTGCTGCAATCTCTTGGACACAGAGTCATCCCATTTACCAGTAGCTACATAAACCAGAAAACAAGAGATGGCCTTGTATTTCTCTCTTGCCGTACAGATTTAAAAGCATTTTATCACTCACTTTGCAGTTTATGAAATAAAAGGGTTTCTATAAGGGTTACAACACTTGCAGCTGCCTCTAGCATCCCGTGTCTCAGCAGTCAGCAGGGCATCCTCTGTTTCAGTGTTATGTTGAGCTGAGCACTGGGAGCCACTCAGGCAACTCCTGTAATTCTACATTGCACCTTTCCTTGTCCCACACCAGGGTCTTTCCTGAACAGCAGCTGCCACGTTCTAGGATGTTTAGGGAACCGCTACAGAACAACAGAGACTGATTTCACTGATTACGTGGAACTTTATCCAAAGCTCCAACTTTGGTCACGACAGAAAGACAACCATAGAAAAATCCAAAAGGATCTTGCTGACAGTATTAGAGAGCAATTTGAAACAGGTCACATGAAACAGAACACATGGGGCATTAGTGACCTTACAGGAACGCTGGAGCCACAGTAAGTGACACATGGCAAATGCAAAGGAAAGCAGGCTAGCTTAAACCACCATAAAAGCCATCTGTTACAAGCTAAGTCATGCACACTGCCAGCTACTGTGGCTCACCTGACCAGAAGAAATTTGCTAAACTAGAGAAGCTCAATCATTATTCACTCATTCATACTCTAAGTTTTTTGAAAACTAATTCAGTCATTTAAGGCACTTCCACAGAGATGTCAATGAGATTGGAAGACAGAAGATGAGCCTGCAAAGCTGTTTAAGACTTTTGCTACTTTACATTTACCCAAAACACCCACAGACTCCAGACCACCATTTGTGCTAGATCTTCAAATGGGCATGACCTGCACTTGCAAAAGTTAAACTCCTGAATGCCTGGCCTCTATCCTCTTGTCAAAATGTGTCTTAATACTTCTGAGAGAGCTGACTTCTGTTGGCAAGTCCTGACAGCCGAACACAACTGTCAAGAGTGAGTGAACATCATGGAACTTACAGTGGGGGAACTTGCATGATGTCCCCTGTGAACTTTTGCAGAACATTTTCAAGATCTCCTTTTGTTACTTGGTCTGTGGAAAGAAAACAGTCAGTATGTTAATAATTGATTATTCACATGGCACTAATGGCATCAATCACATTCTGCAAGGAGACACAAGTAAGAGTTCTCTCTCTTCAGAATTTAGTTGGGGTGAAAAACACCAAAGAAAAGAGATAAAAACCAGATTGTAGGCAGGAATGTGAATTATCACAAAAGGGCAAGTCCTGACAGCCGAACACAACTGTCAAGAGTGAGTGAACATCATGGAACTTACAGTGGGGGAACTTGCATGATGTCCCCTGTGAACTTTTGCAGAACATTTTCAAGATCTCCTTTTGTTACTTGGTCTGTGGAAAGAAAACAGTCAGTATGTTAATAATTGATTATTCACATGGCACTAATGGCATCAATCACATTCTGCAAGGAGACACAAGTAAGAGTTCTCTCTCTTCAGAATTTAGTTGGGGTGAAAAACACCAAAGAAAAGAGATAAAAACCAGATTGTAGGCAGGAATGTGAATTATCACAAAAGGAGTGGAACAAACTGTCCAAGGTGTTCAGGACAATCTGGATACTTTCAGAAGGGCAGAAATCCTCCTTTATGTTTTCTTTTCTAATTCCCCTATCTTGAGGCTGCAAACTCATCTTTCTTGGAAACTCTATAAAAGCTACAACACTTGGAATATTCTTATTTTAAAAAAAAAACACCAAAAAAAAATAAAATGCTCATCTAACCCTGGGTACCTCTCTCAAAGAGAACCTAACTGCAGGGAAAAATACAACAGATCATTAGAGAACAAAACCACTGGTGTAGAAAAATACTTTATCTGAAACAACACATCAAAATTTCCCTGTCAAACAACTAACCTGCAAATGTACTCTGGGGTATAGTTATATATTAAGTAAGGCAATTTTACTAACAAAATTCTGTAAAAGAAAGACAGCTGGTTTAGGCAATGTACTTTCTTTTAAGAGTACACATACACATCTGTCCCGCTTTTATTGGAAGACTATAATCTAAGTAGCTGATTGCACTGGTCTTCTGAAGCTCTATTCTACAGAAATTACATTCATCCCTAATTTTTTTTAGAGAGTGCAAACATAAGATCTGTAATCACAATGCACTTCAGTGCATTTCTGCTGTCTAGGGTTTGACTAGCCCTGTTTCTCATAAGTAATATTAAATTAGTGTCATCACTGCTAAGTCAACAGCATTCTAGAACATAACCTAACCAAATGTATTTATCAAGCCTTCATTGTATTTTGAAACAGACATTTACTTGCAAACTTTAAAAGCCAGATGTACTTCATGCTGTAAGTAAAAAAGGAGATTTCTTTTCACAGCAGCTCTGGGAGATGATCCTGTGGTTCCTCACTTCTATAAAGCACACTCTGCAGCCTCAAGAGCAGATGCTGTCCCTAGGCCCAAGCAGCTGTCCCAAGATGTCTTATTAACAGCAAGGTTGCAAAGCACAAGGCACAAAACTCCAAGATGCTGAGAGAGACCAATTTACATCAGAATATGGGCTAGGAGCAACAAAATCAATTGTACAGTAACTCTGAATCTTCTGAAGAGTTTCTTGTATAGTTATTTCAATCTTGTTTCTATTTAGCAACATATCAGAGTAAAACTACATGGTGGAAAGTCAGCATGACCCAGCCCCATGACAGTGATCCTGTCAGCCTTCTTGTGAACTCCAGGCTGCTTCAGGTTAAATAAAATTCAGTATTTAAGATGTAAGTACAAGTGCCCCTTGGAGTTCTCCTTCCAATCTTCACTCTATGAACTGCATTTGTGGCCAGGGCATTTAATGAGACACCTGAGTTCAGTTCTGGCTCTGATCTCATATTCTCTTGACTAAGAGGTTACATGTGGCCTCTGAGGAAGTCACTCATGATATAGGCAAGCTCTGTCTCAGGAGAAAAAAAAATCCCCATGTGAAGAATGATGCATTAAGCCATTAACAAACAAGAGTTGTGTCGTGTGCTACCAAAGTAAATATTTACTGATGCTTTTGTTAAGATCTGGTGTGCTTTTGAGCACTGGTGACTATTGACTGATTCTCCTGCTACAAAGGAAGGAAAATAAAGTTACCAAACCAAAAGGTGTCATTTGTGCCACAACCTCAAAAAGCCTTCACTTAAGGGTGATTCTGCCCTGTGCTCATTAACAAACTACTCCAAAAGGGAACACAAGAATTATCTGTGACAGAGTACCAGAAGTTTAGCAAATGACCTCAATTCAGTCTGACCCAGCACAAATTATTTGAAAACAGACAAGCAGAATCCTAAAAGGACTACACTTTCCAAAAGATTCAGGTAGCTCTGTTAAACACATATTTCAGCATAATCATCAGAGACCTGAGAAAAGCCTCATTAATTTTGTTCTCCATGTCTGGATATAGCCTGTAGGCAGCTGGGAGGAAGTAGCTTTCAGAACATATATTCCTGTACACAGTTACAAATATTAAAAAAGGGCTACTAACATTAATGTGTTCAAAAAAGCATCAGAGGAATACTAAATGCTACTTGCTTCCACAGTCAGTAACTGACAGCCTGGCAGCAGTATGAAACCATAACCTAATTTCCCATGGAAATGCAAACTTGTTGTCTGGTAAGAAACAAAAAGCTATGAGTTCAGGAGGGGTTAAAAGCAAGGAGCTCTCTTCAGTACATCCTGACATTGTGACTAACTGTACAGTTTGCTTCCTAAGCTGCTGTCTAGGGACACTTTGAGGACTAAAATGTAACACTTCCTTACAGTTAATATAGCTGACAACTTTCTGCAGGCACTTTCCTCTTATGTTCCAATGAATTCACTCAAGAAGAGTTTTATATATTTTACAAACTGGTTTAGTGCCCTTTCTCTGCACTAAGGCCCAATCCTGGATGATGTTGGTACTGCAGGATTTATATCCCTTGCTCTGCTTCTCCAAGGATCCTTGTAGGTGTCAAAAGAAAACTGAAATTCACCTCAAACATTTGGTTTGCCTTTTCTTGTACCTATTAGGGTTAGAAATTAGGGATGGTGGGCCAAAGAGAGTAGCCTTCAGAAAACCAAACTGTTTTGGAGAACACACTGGAAAAAATGAGGAATACAAAACATGTAGGTACCATGGAGAGCAAAAAAGGAGTATCCATCTTCTTCTCTTTCTGAAGAAATCACATCTGACTGATTTGCACCAACATGGAAAGCAACTGAGACCAATGCCATGAGCATTTCCTTCAGCCATCACTTTAGGCAAAAGGAAACTGCACCCCAAACACTGCCCCAGCAATGCCAATGCTGCTCTTCATCAGACCATGTGATTAACTGGATCGTGCAACTAACCTCAGTTTAAAATGACAAGGAACTAAAAAAGGGGGTGTTTTTAAGCCAAATCAGTTCCCCAAGCACACAGCCTAACAGAAAGGTGATGCACAGAAAGCACACACCACAACAGAGGTGGTACAGAGGTGGGAACTGCTGTAACAGGAGCTGCCAGGGAGAGAAACACACACAAAAACAACGCTCTAAATTCTGTCTGCAGTTAACAACACAAAATGAAAAAAGCAAAACTAGTGTTTCAAAAACCAGATTTTTATACAGATAAATACCAAGAAAGTGGATCATCACTTCATTCAAGCACCATGAGGTATTGGCAACTCTAACACCATGTGGATGCCCAGGCCTCCAGAAGCTTAGAGACTTAGAGCTTGATCCTGAAGCATAAATAAATGATCCAACATCTCTGAATAACACTGCCTAGTAATTAACATTATTTAGAATGTGGACAAGAAACTCATGCTTGCCTGCCTCAGGAGAAAAGGAAAACTGCAAAAGAAAGGAGATTGGAAGTGAGAAATGAAATCCAAGCTTTTCATCACACCATTACAAAAGATTATTTACTTCATGTACCTGTTACCAGGTATAAAGAATGTCAGCTGTGTAGGGTTGCTAAGCAACGGGTTACCTATTATTTTTTAATTTTTTTCCCCAAGGTTGTGAAAGAACTAATAACAAATACATTTACTGTGTTACTACACTGTTTCTAAGATGCCCAGCTCGAAACCAGTCAGGATGAGTTCTGAAGCTTTATACCCTTGCCCTGTGCTCTGTCAGTCAGAAAATTTCATTTATTAAAGATGTAAGCAAGACCAAGAACTGGAACATAGCCATATGTAGAATGTAGTTTATGCCATCCTCATTAAATGTTAAGCAGCCTGTAGGTGAAGTGGTGTCCTAGAGGGAAGATCCAAGTACTTTATTCCTCCACTGGCCTTAAAGGGTTTTACAAAAAGAGGACTCCTGGGACTACACTCTGAGAGAGGAAAATGTTACTGGACACAGCACGTCATTTGTCAGCCTGTCAAAGATTTAAAATGACACAGTCCTGCCCAATTCTATTTCCTCCCTCCTAATCTAATGCCTGGTTTGTTTTCTTCCAGCAGAAATGAACACTTGCGTTGGATGTAATTGCATGAAGCTGGTTTGAATTATATGAGCACTGAAGTTGAAGATGAAATAATCTTAGTTTAATTTCACATTTAAACTTAATTCAGAGTCCCAAACATCTCTTCCGCTTTCCTATGACAGAAACCACTTATGCCTTCAAATGACATTGACTGTATAGATACATTTATGCTTACCATAAGGTTTTTCTTCAGTTACTTTTCCTGTAGCATCTAATGTATCAGTAGCCTTGCCCAGCATTCCAATGGCAGTGTACTTCTGGGAAGGAATAAGAGAGATTACTCAGTCAAGTCTTCAAGGCTGTTTCTTAGGTGGTTTTTTTTTTTCTTTTTTCTTATTTATTTTTTTAAGATAAAGACAGCAACTACCCATTACTTCAAATCAGAACAGGAAGAATACTGCCTAAGTGGTAAACCCAGCAACCCTGGGTAAGCAAAAGTCAAGATAAAAAAACACGAAATCAAACAAAAATTAAATCCTGTATTACATGTGCCTGTGATTTCAGTTTTAGAAACCGAAGGAAGAAGCAACATGGAATCTAATTTTTAGTATAAATACATCAATACCATAAAGAAAATAATAGGGTAGTAACATCAAAGTCTCTGTGGGGTGTCATATGTCATGGTTGAAGCAAAGCACAGAGGAGTACCTTTCACAGACAATTTTTCTGTTCCTTTGTACATTAAAAAAAAAAAAAAAAAGACACAAAGACCTTTACTTGTGAAATCAAAACACCCACTGCCAAGACAAAGCATTACAATGGTTCTGCCATGAAATGCAGAACTGACACTGCAGTTTTGAATTCCTGGGATCTGGTAAGGACCTTGTGACCAGCACAAGGAGTTCAAGGTCACTGAGTAACATTTCTGTTCATTGTGAGTTCTCTGAATATGGTTTCAGGCTTTTTCAGGGTTCTTCTCTAAAAAATTCTTCAGTGTATGCGTCTGTAGTTTGCAAGAAGGAATCAACCTGACCCGAGGACAGCAGCTCTTGTCCTTACATTTCACCTGATGCCCTCCTTTCCAATGTTTTCACCCTAAGAACTGCCATCTCTGAGCATACAGCACAACCTGCTGAAGCTGACAGAGGCTTCTCCTGCACCAGCTGCTCCATGACTTGTCACAAGGCTGTCAACACACCAAGGCTCACTCTGTAACATGATCTGAGTCAAGTTCAGGGATACCATCAGCTATTACATCAATGGTTTGACCCATTGCCTATCCCATTCCAGTCCCCTCAACTTCCCTATGGTAAGTCCACAGGCCTTCAAATAAAGCCTTGGAGAGAAAAATCAAAGTGTTCTTCTATTCCCCAGTAAGGTTCTAGTGAAATTACTCCCAGCTGAACTAATACAAATCCGAGGATGTATCTTCTAGAAGCTGGCTGACCAAACTCTACTGGAACACATCCAAACAGGCATAAGCACTAACATTTTACTGTGAGATGCAGTGCATCCTGCTTCATGTACTTGCAAAGTACAAACAAGCTCAAGTAATAGCAGTGTAGGCATATAAATCACACCCACACCACTGGACTAGTAAGACATGCCTTGATTTTGTTCCATGTGACAACCTGCCACTTCAATGTATTTCTTCAAGCAACTGCTGCAAAATGGAAGCAGCAGAAATAGTCAGACAAAAGGCAGCAGAGTGCAGACTTTGACATAAAAATAACTGTATTCTTTGCTTACTTCATGGGCTGGGTTGGGCTGGGAATACAGAGAATTTTCTTTATAATAGCTGGTATGAGACTATGCTTTGGATTTATGCTGAAAACAGTGTTGATAACATAGATGTTTCCATTACACTTATTAAACTGCCTTTCACAACCCATGAGTTTCACCTTTTTTCTGATCCTGTCCCCATCCCACTCCAAGGAGTGAGCAAACAGCTGTGTGGTGTTTTAGCTGCCTGCCAGGTTCAATCACAACACCACATTAGGGCTATATTTTCCCTAAATATTGCAGATGTCTGGTAACTCTGCAAAATTAGGTATTTAAAAATAAAATTCTTCGAGTTTACACACTTCTGGAATGCACGAAAAAAGAAATGAAAGAAAGAATGGATGAATGCTGCTCCACAACAAATATTTAAATAAACTTTAAGGTATATTATCTTTTACTACTACATTAGCTGTTAGGACCATAAAATTGACTGCTTTCTGAGACATTTAATGATCTGGTTCTGAACATTTAATTGCACTGCCAGAAATACACTATTCAGCACCTAACGTAGAGGTTAATAAAAACACATGAGCAGATCATCATTATCCTAAGCATGATGAATGATCTTAGCAATTCAGTAAAATTCTAAATCTGAAAATTTAAAAACTCACACTGTCTTCTGATGTTTCCAAATCAAAATACTCATACTACTTCAGTTTAAATTACTTCTTTTCCTTTAATTCTGGTTTTGGTTATCTTGCTTTAGGCTATCTGTTACAATAACATGTTGTATTTGATCTGCCAGCAATAGAGAGATGTCTCATCTGTTAATATGTAAACATGAATGGCATGAACAATACAATCCAAATCTCAATATTTCCCCTTTAATTTCTGCAAAAAGAGCAAAAGGGTTTACAGTTTGTAAAAAGAACATCTTAATTATTAGTCACAAATTCCCATTCCTTACAGAAGCCTTTTAAAGAGTCACAAAATACTCAAGCCAGCAATGCTATAATTCGCAAAGGAGACTGTAAGAGGGTAGGAAATTAAGAATTACAGCTGGTTTATGATCCATCTCTGGAGTGCCCTTGGCTATCTACAATTATATATCATAATTCTTACTTGCCATTGGATAAGGTTTACTTCTTCTCCTTTGGGTTGTAGAAGATAATACAAGAGTCCAGAATTATTTGTGTCAAAATTCAGCATCAACACTCTTTAGACTCTCACTCACACTGCCCTCAGAAGCACCCAATGGATCTGAGTCATTTAATAAGTGTTCAGTGACCTTTTCTCACCTGTGTTGGCAATCATTTATTTCTTCAATTTTTATGAAATACATCTAGGGGCATTCTCCCTGTACTCTCAAATTACAAATCACTGCAGGAACACAGACAGAAACTGCTCACAACACTCTGTCTTCAACCCACTCAACCCAAAACAAAAAAAGCAAGGTAGTAGGTGTTGAAGGCAGTGGCAAAGCCTGACAAGTGCAGACTGTGACAGAAAGCACCCCTATATTGCAGCTCCTCAGATGACATCCTGCCAGTCAACAGCCCCTACATCCTTGCCCTCTACTCAACTCAAGAGACCAGGACCAAAATCATTTAAAGATTAAAAGCAGCATCTCAACTTCCCTATGGACTGCACAACATGCAAGTGCAGCACATTAAAAGCTGAGATCCAGCGTTCCCAGTCACGACTTACAAGTGCTGCAGCATCGTGCATTAATTCCAACACAGAACGCTGGGCTGGTCCCAAAGCAAAGCCTCACAACTGTACAACAGCACCCCGAGGACAAACAGACCTTTCCAAAACTATCCTGCAGCAGGGAATGGCTGTGTCTCTCAGCCAATCAGAAAAGGACTTTATTGAAAAAAAGAAAACCATTATGGCAAGTGAAACAAAAGGCAGCGAAGTGACCAGAAGCCCTTGAGTATAAGCAGCTCCACCTTTCAGAAGAAAGCCTTAAGATACTTTACAGTGACAATCCACTGCACTCTGTCAATGACAATGCACAAACTCTGTCACACAGACTGGGGGATGTGCTGCATGCAACCCCAACAAGACCAGACACACAGTGAAAAAGCCAGTACTGGATAAAAAAATAGGACTACAGGAATCTATAAGAAAGGAATTACAAACCTCTAATAAATCTCACAGGTCTTGGGAAGAGGAATTTTGTTTTAGTGTCACAACCACAGGGCACAGTCAACATTCTCACAAATAACAAACCATATGTTTACCATAATATTTTTAGTAAGAGAGTAGCTATAATTTGACTTTTTTATTTTCATACCCAGATTCAGAAAAGTGCTTAGACTAGCACAGAAAGAGAAAAAATATCCACAAAAAGAGAGAGAATAAAGGCAAGACTTTATCAGCATGCATATTTAACTGTGAAAGGGGGAAGAGGAGGAGAAGGGGGAAGAATCTCCTCCCATTTCAGGGGCTGCACAGCCAGCAGAGCTTTCAGCTGCACAACCCCACCCGGGGGGGCTCCAGGCGGCTGAAGCCCCTGGGCTGACTGCCAGGCATGTCTGCCCCACTTATCAGTGCAAACGCCAGACAGACCATGCAACAGAACTTCTCAGTTTTAACTGTTGAGACATCGAGGTTTTATTTGGAAAGAAGCCAGAGACTTGAAATCTTAAATTATAACATGTTTTAAAAGCTTTTTCATACATGGAGAAGCAACACTTTAGAAGAGCTAGACAGAACCACAAGTAATTACAAAACAAGGTCACCAGTAGCTGTCAGGAAGATTTTAAGATGGCTCCCACTACAAGAATTTCCCAGGCAAGCAAGCTCTCTGGAAGAGGCAGTTCACAAAAGTTCATCCAAGGATGACCCATTTTCTAATCACAGCAGCAACTGAACACAGAAGTGTAAAAGGAAAATAAATAAATTAAGGCTACAATCCCCTGTGCAAGAGACTGAAAGCTGGGAAACAGAAGTCATATTCAAGAGAAACAGAAATGCAATTTATGTAAACTGATGTCTACATGTTATTAACAAGTTTGAACATAAACAAACATAAAACAAGTGCTCTAGAGAACCTGATGGAAATCAGGGGAGCACACAGCAGGCAAACACTGATCAGAATTAGTGCTCCTGTGCCAAAACCATTTGCTCTGCACTTACAGATTTGTAGACTTAGGCCACTGAGATAGTGAAGAGGCCTTAAACTCTCAGTTTTATAATGACATTCAGTTTGTGTTCAATGATTTCTAAAGCACAAATAAACAGTTTTGGATTTAATATTTACAGAACATATTTTGCTGTTTGTATAACATTAGCAGCTACCAGTGGTTTCCAGTATGCTAATCATCCACCAAAATGGAGAAGTGCATGAGGTAGACAAATAAGCTGGAAAAAACCCCAAGGGTTGCCATAGTTTCAATTATTTTCCAAAACAAAGCACTCTCACTAAGCAGATTCCAATATATTAAAAGCACAGAGTCCTAATCTCTTAAAAGCAGGTTGCACAGAGGGCAAAATAAAGACTGCAGGATGAGGGAGGAGTTTCATGTTTTACAAATTCAAAATTATCAAACACCAAACATGACCTTTTGATATACATAAACATTTACAA